GTTTATGTCCCTCTAAAATTCCTACTTGTTGAAATTGTTACTTCCAAGATTTCAGGAGGTGGGCTCTTTGGGAGGTGATTAGGTCATGTGAGTTGAATCCTTATGAACCAGAATTAGTCCCCCAATAAAAGAGGCCCAAGAGAGACTCTTTCCCCCTGCCACTATGTGAGAACACAATGAGATGGCATGGTCTGTAAGTCAGAAAGCAGGCTCTCACCAGACACTGAATCTGGCTTGATTCTGAACTTCCCAGCCTCCAGAAATGTGAGAAATAAATTTCAGTTGCTTATAAGCCACCCAGTTCATGGTATTTCGTTAGAGCAGCCAGTTCAAATGGACCTAAGAAAGAAACTATTTAGTCAAAGTCCTTTATCTTATAAATAAGGAAAATGAGACTCTGGGTCACAAGGCTATTTTATGGCAGAAAGACCAGAACATTGAGATTCTGTTACTTCTTCATTATACTACATTTTAAGAAAATAAAATTATGGTAAATTTCTTAAAATTCAGAGGCGCTGTTTTTTTCTTCTTCTGTGTATTTATTTCTTCAGAGGAGATGCATCAAATTAGTATATTTCTTTGGCTGATAAGCGCTCATCAAGCTCTGCCCATTTACTCATTTATTCTGCATGCTTGATTTTTTTCCCCAAAGGTCATTAAAAAAAACTATTTTTAAGCATTCTTAAACAGCCTAAGAAAACACTTTACCCTGAAAGTGAATAGAGAATACATGTGCTTATTACTAAAGCAAAGACTATGCTTACCAACCCACCATTGTTAGTGAGAATTTAGAATCTTGGCTGACCTCTTACAGAGGTAAAAATCCACCCTTGGTGGGAACAGCTGCGACTGTGAAAGAAGCTACAAATAACATGCTGGGAATTCAGCAGGCACTGTTATTATATCCTGTTTATACTGTCATTTTTCCTATCAGTAGGATATTATTTATACAGACCCCACCCATGAACTTCTTGTTTATCTTATTATAGAAATCCTCTGAATCTATAAAAAGAAACTTCTGTATTTGTTTCTGGAACAAGCACATGTGTTATAATTTTGCACCTCATTACACTTTTTATTTAGCATTTTCTTTTGTTATGCACCACTCGTTCTCATTTTTATCTCAAGGTTGACTTATTTCACATATTAGAGTTGAACTTAAATCTTTTTAAGATAACTTGTTATAAGATTCAGGATAACCACATCCTAAACCTTAAGGTAGATTTCATTAGGTACATATTCTTTGAAGATACACTTGACTAATTTGTTTAAAGACCAAAAAATATGTATATACACTGATGAGGTACTGCAGGGAGTGAGCTCTAGGTGACCAGAAGGCTTCCATACTCAGGTTCACTCTAACCTAAGTGGACCAATTACGAGGACAAGGCTTTATTCAGTTCTACTGCCTCACTATTCTCTAGCTGGATCTCTTCTCTGCAATGAGAAGCCTTGCCCCTGAGTTTAGCTTGATGGCTGGGCAGTCTGGGTAAAAAAATGTTAACACAATAATACACAAAAAACATAGGAGTTCAGTAAATTGACCAATAGGACAACGAACCAATATGGTTATCAATCATTCTCATTCCCCAGGCCTGATATAAACAACTGAAGTAGATAAAGGAAAAATGCAAGTTCCTTAACGGCAAAAATTCACACAGCATTTGTCGAGCAAATGAATTTGGAGAGGGCACACCACTGAAGAAAGTCACACTGGACAAATTTTCACATGTATAGCTTGTGTCAGCATCACCAGTTCTCCTCGTATAGGTGGCTAGATAAACATGGAATGTTCAGAGTACATGCACAATGCTAGACTCTTTGTGTAAGGAAAGGTCACTCTTGAAGAACACTGCTCTAAAATGCATAACTAAAATGAGTACTAAACCTCAGGGTGATGAACTAAGTGTAATTCATTTCAGAAAAAAAGAGAGGTCTGCAAGGACTAAATTGGTCTAGAAGTTAAAATGAGGGTAACAACTGAGATAATCTTGATAAACAGAAATTCGTAAGGCTGGGATGAGGAGGTGAAAGATATCTTTGGCACAAACAAAACTTCGGAAGCATCCAACTGAGCAGAATTCTGAGAATGGCAAATAGTGAAATTCAGCTGGGGGCATACTGAATAGAGGATGGCAACAAAAGAGAAGACTGGAGTCAGATTACAAGAAATTTCATTTTTTAGACAATGGAGAATCATCGAAAGATATCTGATCAAGGGAAGAGGAACCCAAGCTTTTGGAGTAGAAATGAAGAGGAGGAAGAACAAGTTGGGGTGAGGCTGAAAGGGGGAAATAAGTTTGTAACACCACCAAATCCCATAGTTATGGCAGCAAAAGAAAGGTCCATGTGGTACAATAGATAATAAATGTGTAACTGTATTCTCAGTTCTTGCTTGCAAAAACAGAAGATGATGGTCAGGTGTGGTGGCTCATACCTGTAATCCCAGGAGATCAAGACCAGCCTGAGCAACATGGTGAAACCTCATCTCTACAGAAAGTAAAAAATAGGCTGGGCACGGTGGCTCATGTCTGTAATCACAGCACTTTGGTAGGCCGAAGTGGGTGGATCACCTGAGCTCAGGAGTTCAACACCAGCCTGGCCAATATGGTGAAACCCTACCTACACTAAAAACACAAAAAATAGCCAGGCACGGTAGTGGGCGCCTGTAATCCCAGGTACTTGGGAGGCTGAGGCAGGAGAATCACTTGAACCTAGGAGGCGGAGGTTGCAGTGAGCTGAGATCACACCATTGCACTCCAGCCTGGGCGACAGAGCAAGACTCCATCTCAAAAAAAAAGAAAAAGTGAAAAATAAAAATTAGCCAGGTGTGGTGGTGCACAACTGTAGTACCAGCTACTCAGGAGGCTGATACAGGAAGATCACTGGAGCCCAGGAGGTGGATGCTGCAGTGAGCCATGATCACCGGCCACTGTACTCCAGCCTCAGGAACAGAGCAAGACCCTGTCTCAAACAAAACCAAAAACAAACAAACAAACAAACCAAAACAAAAATAAAAACAGGGGATGGCATCATGATGACCATTACTGAGTGAGGTAATGTTAAACAATGCCAATCCACTGAAGTTAAAGTCAGTAAAGTTTACCAGTCTCCTAGAATAGCATTTCTCAAACTGAAATCACCTGGGCTTGTGGTTAAAATGTAAATTATGTTTCAGCACATTTAGAGCAGTATTCAGTATTTCTACAATTCTAACGAGCTCCCAGGTGATGCCAAAAACGCTGTTCCATGTACTATATTTTGAATAGCAAGATGGGAAAACATATCTTTCAGTTTCCCTTTCCAAAAAAGCAATACTATATTTAACGCATCATGTTTAACCCATTATGGTTTATCCAATGCCTTTAGACATGTTCAAGAAATGCTTTTTAAAGGTATGTTACTATGATTTGTATTAACTAAGGTTGGATGGGTTTCAAAGCTACTATTTTAAAAGTCCTAAATGATTCAAGATTCAGGGAATTCAATACACTAAGAAATGCTTCTACCTGAAAAAAAAAAAAAAAAAAAATCAACATTGCAATGCTATTCTGTAACACTAAAATTTTTTCTTTTTAGTTTTAGGCTGGCAAACTGGAAGATACTATTGCTTCTAGTAATGGAGGCTGAAATGTAAGTACTGAAAGACAACATTTCATCTTTTCAAAGTCCAGATCAGTGAGTTTCACTAAAACCTGCTTGACTTGTCCTTACATTGCATTAAGCACCATAACTTGGTCCTTGAAGATAAAGGTTAACAACATATTTTAAATATCCTATAGAAAAACACCTAAATACTACAACAACTAAACTAACACACTATCCTTTGGTATAAGACTTCTACACCGAAGGATACCTTTAATTAAAGTATTTTACCATAAACAGAAGTGTCGTTTATAAAAATATATTACTAGTGTAATATATTAAACACACACACACACTATAAAAGATTGGCTGACCTTAGATACTTGGGATGAAATGTAAGACTTCTAAACTCTGGAGTTTCATTTTTAACAAAATTAATGGCCAGTAACAACCTTTTAGGTAAATTAGTTCCAATATGTATCATGGTCTGGAGAACAGAAATAATATTTTTAAATCGTAAGTTATTGTTGAAGATCAGATCCAAGTATTTCATTGTAGAAGGAAGAAAACGGAGGCATAGAGGTTAAAAAGCCCAAATTCACATAGTCAGCTAGTAGAATGTTAATAAAAGGAGGGGAGAATTAATTTTTATATCTATCAATATACAAAGTATAACAACATTGCAACTACAAAATGTACTTGAAAGAGTGTCCAGTTCTTCTAATGACTAAGGCCCAGTTAATTTTTTAAGGATCTTATAAATCACTGAGATCTAAGAAAGGAAGTTCACACATTAACAAACAAAAGACATCTGCCCCCAAATTTAAGAACTTCATTAAAAAATGCAATCTGAATAGAGAATGACAAAATACACCACATACTAAGGATGGGGCTTGGGTGGGGGTGGAGAATGGGATGGGATATAAAGAACAAAGAGAAGACAATGGTAACTCTTCTCAGTAATGTTTCAAGGAATGCTTTTACATATGCAAAAGTGGTTTAAAAAACAACTTTCTTTACCCTCATGAATCATTTTTTTAACTGGTATAATCAGGGATTATATTTGGAGGACTACAAAGCTTTTAAAAATATATAGTATAGAAAGCAGTTGGATGTGCATGTGTCATACGCTCTGTTACAATCAAAAGCAAACTATAGGAACCTTTTTTAGCCACAAAATAGGGAATTTTGTGCTTATTACAAATGCTATAAAGTTTACTAGCACAAGTCAAAAAAAATCACTAGAGAAGTTCGGTGATATTGGAGACAATGGGTTTTAAATCACAGGCATACATAATTATGCCTGAGTTGACAGATCTGCACTGCAATGCAGAAATGCAAGCATTATTCCAACATCTGCACCAGAAGGCAGAGACTAGACATGATTCCAGAATAAAGGGCTCTTCAGCTCTTACCTGTTACCTGTGCAACAACTGCTTGGGAAATCCTCCGATTGGCAAGAAAGGCTTTGATTTCCTCTTTTATCACACTGCTGTCCCTCCTAACAAAAACAGAAGACAAGACCAACAATGTATGTTGAAGGTAGAAATCCTCATCTTTGCTAAAAGAAAGGTGAAGCAGAGAGGTGGGGAGAACACAGAAAGGACACAAAAATAAAGGGTAAACAGACCAAACTTGTGTGAAAATATGAAATTACAATGAACCAAGAAACACCAAATATTCAAGTCCTAAAACATCACACCATCAGACAGACGCTTTAGTGAAGACCATAATAGATATAAGTCTCATACCAGAGGATGGTTAATCGCATGCTCTGTATAATTCATATTAGGAACAAGGCTGTCATATGGTATATACAAAGTTTCATTACTGGGGAATGAATGTATCTTACAGAGACAGAAATCCTAGAAAAATAAAGAGCAACAACAACAAATTCAGTTGTGAGCAGACTGTGGGCTTGCATGTTAACTACACAACTGCATGAACAATGTTCATTTAAAAACCTTTAAAATGATTAAGGAAAAAGAAATCATCGTTCCCACAACTGTAAAAATGTTAGCCATTTGAAGAAAGGCTTGCCCTTTAACTTCTTTTCCTGTATAAACAAAAAAAGTGGGATCAGTTGAATATAAAGTTTTAGTATTAAAAAGGCATTTATTCATTTTGTATTATATATAAGAATACTTAAAACTACACAATATTCCATGTCCTTGGGAATACATTATAGACCTCATTTTTCCTCCACTAAAATGCTTGTTCCAAATTTTTACTTAAAGACTCAACAAATTCTCAAAAGACCAGACATCCACAAAAATGACAATGAGTGGCAAGACTTCTGTTATTTCACCAGAACAAGAATTAATAAACAAAAATTATAGTTAAACCCTTAAAACTGACCAATCTCTCTTTCAATGCTTTATCTTCAAAAGGATTACATAAATAGAGCAGTGGTTTCTGTTCAAGCTCAAAAGTAACACAGAATAGAGGTAACTTCTTATCTAACACAGGGGTCAGCAAATTACGGCCTATGGGCTAATTCTAGCCTGCCACCTATTTTTACACAACCTGTGAGCTAAGGATCATTTTCAGAGATGGACATTTGCAATTGATTTGATGACAGAAAATGCAAACGATAAACACAAACTAAGCAAAATATTATCCCTCCCCTTGCAATTTCACTCTTCTGACTAGTAGGCCTATATTTTTAAAAACTCTACCCAATTATTATTCTTCTGTATTGACTTTTGTCAATAAAAATTTGTGGCTGTTTGTTTTCTGTCTTGTATGTGGCTCTACATGATATCCTTTTTTTTTTTTTAATTGAGACGGAGTTTCACTCTGCTGCCCAGGCTGCAGTGCAGTGGCACGATCTCGGCTCACTGCAACCTCCACCTTCCGGGCGCAAGCAATTCTCCTGCAGCCTTCTGAGTAGCTGGGGTTACAGGCATGCAGCACCACACCCGGCTAATTTTTGTATTTTTAGTAGAGTCAGGGTTTCACCATGTTGGTTGGCCAGGTTGGTTTTGAATTCCTAACCTTAAGTGATCTTCCTGCCTTGGCCTCCCAAAGTGCTGGTAATACAGGCATGAGCAACCGCACCCAGCCTATGTCTCTTCATTATATCCTTAAATTTGCCTCTTGGCCACAAAGTCTAAAATTTTTACTCTCTAGTCCTTTAGAGAAGAAGTTTGCTGACCCCTGATCTGAGACAAAGGATCACAAAACCTTAATAATTGTTTTGTGAAAGAACCACAAACTCTTTTTAGGGGTTCACATTTCTCTGTAGACTATTTGGAGGAACTTAAGTATCCTATCCAAAAACAGTGAGTTGTGATTTAACTTGGATGAGGGATTTTAGCTCCCTGATGAGTAGTTGTTACATGCTCTGTTGTAAGGACTCTATTGTAAGACCATGCTCCCTTTGGGGAATTCTGGAAAAAAACAGAGAGGTGATAGTGGTGAGTTTCCAATCTGTAGCTCTATAGTATACTGCTGATTTATCAGTTGGAAATCCTAACCAAAAATATTCTTAAAGGAAAAAAATAATCAGCTGCCTAATGCAGTATTTAAATTTTCTCATACTGATCTAGATTCTGGTTAGATTCTTCCCAAAATGCCTGTCTATATTTGAAATATTTCTTTTTTTTTTTTTTTTGGAGACAGTCTCGCTCAATCGCCCAGGCTGGAGTGCAGTGGCGCAATCTCAGCTCACTGTAAGCTCCGCCTCCCGGGTTCATGCCATCCTCCTGCCTCAGCCTCCCAACTCACTGGGACTACAGGTGTCCGCCATTACGCCAGGCTAATTTTGTGTGTGTGTGTGTGTGTGTATTTTTAGTAGAGATGGGGTTTCACTATGTTAGCCAGGATGGTCTCGATCTTCTGACCTTGTGATCCACCCATCTCAGCCTCCCAAAGTGCTGGGATTACAGGCGTGAGCCACTGCGCCCAGCCTGAAATATTTCTTTGAAAAATACGCATTCACATTTTATTTAAAAATTGTGTATACGAAAAAGAAAAAGGTACAAATAAATATATTTTAAAGTCAAACAAAATAATTGCTGACTAAAATGCAGGTAATGTAGAACAAAAGCTTTCAAATGTGCATCGATAATCAGTGTGCAAGAGATAACTTCAGCACTATTTCAATTGGCTTATATAAACAAAACAAATCATTTGGTTTCTAATATAACTATAAAATTAATCTGAAAATTTTTAAATAAAGTATTGCATTTCTATATATAGAATGATCTTCTAGGAAAATGAAGCTGAATTTAAAAGAATATTTGTTCAGGTTAAATTAAAAAATGTACCTTTGTGGGGGAAAGAATTAAATAGGTTTTTTGACTAATTTACATTGATATTTAAATCAATTTATTTCAAATCAAATTCATTTAGACACTAAATCATACAAGAGATAACACTCAATTATTGAAACAGGAAATATCCAGTTTGTAAATTATTCACAGCCTTGCAGCATGATATTATTAAGGACTGCACAAGACAGAAGGAATCCCAAAAATATGTCAAACAGTAGCAATTTTCATTTTTAGATATTTGACAAGTTTCTAAGTATCAATAATGTTTAAAAACATAGAAATAGACAGACACGGTGGGTCACGCCTGTAATCCCAGGACTCTGGGAGGCTGAGGCAGGCGGATCATTTGAGGTCAGGAGTTCAAGATCAGCCTGGCCAACATGGTGAGACCTCGTCTCTACCAAAAATATTTAACAAATAGTTAAATTTAAACAAATAGTTAAAAAAAATATTTAACAAATAGGTGTGGTGGCATGTGCCTGTAATACCAGCTACTCAGGAGGCGGAGGCAGGAGAATTGCTTGAACCCCAGAGGCGGAGGTTGTAGTGAGCCAAAAACGTGCCACTGCACTCCAACCTCGGTGACAGAGTGAGACTCCATCTCAAAAAAAAAAAAAGAAAAAACTCTTTACTGCTTTACCAGAGAGCTTTTTCAAAAAGCAAAAGAAAAGACTTAAAAGATAAGGGTGTGCAAGGGCAAGACATTTAACAAAGCTGGGCCCTGGCTGTATCATCTGATAAAATAAAAGCATTGGCCAGGTACAGTGGCTCACTCCTGTAATCTCAGTTACTTGGGAGTCTGAGACATGAGAATTGCTTGAAACCAGGAGGTGGATGCTGCAGTGAGCCAAGATTGCGCCACTGGGCAACAAAGTGGGACTCCATCTAACAACAACAACAACAAAAAGCATCAATACTCCCTTCACAAGGCTTTTAAAATTTGTCTCCTAGCAATGAAATTAACTATTGTGTGTATACATATGTCTGTAATACATAGGATCAAAAATTCATTGCAAAATTTTTTTTGAAATTGTAAAAATACTAAACATTGACTATTATTTTATAAAACTTCAGAAAGGTTCCCAAGAAAAGAAGAAACAAATGATCCGCTGTAATCATATAAGACCGAAGTAAACATCTGTACCAGGTACTTTAAGGTGGCATTAAAAGAATTCTATACACAAGCAGTGATGTGTCATTTAGTTGGTTTCACTAAGTATTTTCAAAATACTAAACACATTCTATTTTCATTGTGTCCAATTCTCTTAAATATTTTTAAAAGTTCCATTCTAGTGGGTTAGCTTTGTTGTTCAAACTTTGACATCACCTCCTTCCCTCATTCTCTCCTCATTCAGCCTTCTTTAAGGACCTGCTACTCCTATTGTCCTCATTGTAATCTAAGAATCACCACTTTGTTAGTGTAAAAACTTCATTTACTCTAAATCTAATTATCTCATCTTCTCCCACCCCTCACTTCCTCTCTTCATCTGCAATTTTACATCCTCCTTAAAAAGAATAAATCCCCTCCTTCCTCTCTTATAAAATCTCATACTCTTCAAGATTTCTATGCCTCAAGTCTTATGGAATTAAAGTGAAGAGCAGGCTGATCTTGTCTTTCATTCCACAGCTTACTTACTTCAAGATAAGATACCCACCTGACTTGTAGCTAACCAGTTCAAGTCCATGTCATTGCCTCCTACTTCCCTTTTGAAATCATTGCCATGCTAGATTCATCTGGTGATTTCCACGCCAGGATGAAATTCTTCCTTCCCACCCTCCATTGCCATTATTTTTATAATTTGCTAAACTTTCACTGTTACTTACAGACCTTTCTTAATATCTGGATGAATTCATCAGTAATGCCTCTTTGTGGAATCCCCTTTTACTAAGACACAATTTAACTGTCATCTATTCAAAGAAGTTCTCCCTGATCTTCACAGCTAAAAAAGGTATCTTCTTGCAATGGCTAACTTTTAACATTTCAATACTACTACTCACACGCTAATATATTACATGCTGTTCTGTATTATGGTTGTTTCTAATCTTGTCTTATCTCTCCTACTACGCTGTAAAGTCCTTAGTCCTTTAGCACAAAGATTGTGCCTTATTCATTTATGGGGTTTGCATATAATAGTGCTTAATTTGTTCAATGAATGAACAATTCTGTAGTTGGAGAAAAAAGGTTGTAAAATGGAAAGCCCGATCTAGATAATTTATAAAACAGCTTTAAATTTTTATTCTCAAATAGATTTAAGCTTACCAAATCAGAAAGGAAAAGAATTATTTATAGTAGTTCGAAATGACATTGCTTCCTTTTCTAGAACAAAGAATAATAAAGACCACCTGTTTTAAAAATGATATGCTTTAAGATCTTCCATATTTTCATAGTTAATATACACTGCACATTTTTTAGGATCTCTGAAAGGTAATCATCTATCTGAAAGACTTCCAGAGATGAAGCAACACCTGCCAAGACAGACTATTTCACACTTGGAAAAATACAATGATGTACAAATTTCTTTCACATTTGAATAAAACCTATCCCCATACATTTTTACCCATGGAGACAAAGTATAACTTTAAATTTTAAAAATTCACTCAAAAATAAAAGTTACTATATACATATCAATAACATAGTAACTGGATGTCATGACCATTTTGTCTTATCTACAGAACATGCACATCCTACCTATGCAAGTAAAATACTTAGCCTATAGATAACCAACTTAGAATAAAGCCTCAGTTTTATACAAAATACTAATATATCATAAAATTTAGTACATCGGTGGTTAAGAATAATATATTTAATGTATGGCATTATTAACAAATTCTGATAAGCTTCATTTAAATTATATCATAATATGTACATAAAACACACACTAGTATCTATACACTATATTAGCAGATGTGTATACACACATACCCCTACACATATATTTATATATTAATAGATGCATTTTTAAACATTAATATGTAAAACAGTTATTTCTGGCTTTAAAGTCCTTCCTAAAATGTTATATTCAACAATCTGTTAAATTCATATCCTAGTTTACCTTTATTTTTTTAACCTAACTCAAAAATGAAAAAAGTGAAAGCTACTTTCTCACTATTTCTTAATGAGTTGATAAAGTGTACAATTATAACTTGATGAAGTTATACAAAAAAATCTCCATTATGGGCTGGGCACGGTGGCTCATGCCTGTAATCCCAGCACTTTGGGAGGCCGAGGTGGGAGGATCACTTGAGGCCAGGAGTTCGAGACCAGCCTGGTCAACATAGTGAAATCCCGTCTGTACTAAAAATACAAAAATTAGCTGGGGTTGGTGGTGCACATTGTAATCCCAGCTACTAGGGAGCCTGACACATGAGAATCACTTGAACCTGGGAGGCAGAAGTTGCAGTGAGCCCAGATTGCACCACTGCACTCCAGCCTGGTTGACAGAGTGAGACTCTGTCTCAAAAAAAAAAAAAAATCTCCATTATGTATCTTGAAATTTTTAGGAGTGAAATTTGTAAAGTGAATGAATTATAAGATTTTTAAAACTACGTCTTATGTTTGAGTTGAGGAATGTGAACAAGCAAGAGGTGAAGCACACAGGTAGAAAAGGAGACAGGAAAGCGTTCAGATATCCAGGCTCCCCCACCAGAGACCACCACTTCCAGCGGGCTATAATATCACCACAGCATCTAGTGATCAGCAAGGGCAGTATATTCCTAAAAGAGCACAGAATACTCAGAAAGATCCACCGCTCAAAATATTTCTCTAACATTCCACTAAATAAAAATTCACGTTGTAAGTGATTGTTTTGAAGCAGCAAATATCATGGGGGAGGGGGATGCAAAGCCCATTAAGGCAATTCATACTTTGTCTTATGTTAATTAACCACCTTTCCTAAAATCTTATTAAAATCTACAGACATGAAAAATTTATTTGGAGAGGCAATGTACACTAGTGATATATTGATAATAAAGACATAATTTAGGCTCTGCCACTTAATATTGAAGTTCTCTTGAGCAAAGTATTTAATTTTTCTGAATCTCAGTTTCTCTGATCAACCTCACATCATGATTTTAATAAGTGACAATGTCATCCAATAAACTTTCCCACTGATCCAAGGATTGTTATTATCTACAACCTGAGAAGCGTAAGAGACGGAAACAATGGAGGAAAGCAGGAGTGCAGCAGTGGGTGAGGGTGCAATGGCAGAGAACCAGAGAGATCTAGAAGGACCATTGAGACCCCAAGATGATCAAGAGAACCCAAAGGAGCAGTTCTAATAAAGAAGCAGAGAAATGGAAAAAGATCAAGTGTCCTGATTAAGCGACAACTGGTAGTACATAAATACTGATAACAAAGTATAAACCTGTATATATTTCACAGTGAAACTGGAATGGGTGTAATTACAGGATTTAACTACAAATCCCAGTCATTGCTAAACAGGTTTTCGTTTAGTTTGAGCATATATTTGAATTAAAACATCATGCCAACCTATGAGTTAAAAGTCAGGTTTTTAGACCTTTATTTTTCCAAACAATCTTCTAGAGACTTTTACTAACGAGCTTTCCCATACTTCTTGTTAGTCTTATACACGTTTAAGAATTAACTGTTATGTCAAAAGCTTATCAAAACTGATGAACAGCAACACCACCGAAAAAACCAGGTTGGCATCCTTTTTAAATTTTTGATATCCTCCCTACTCAGAATAATTAAAAGCTAATCTTGTTATGTTTCAATGAGTGAAGTAACTTTTATTTGCCCAAATGGTTCTCCCTCTTAATCTTAACAACGTTAAATTCAAAAGCAACACCTGAACTTCGGTCACTTACTTTAACACATGAAAAAGAATTCAAACTCAAACTGATCTCTTTTATTTTTAACTTTTAAAAAAATTAGCTGAGCGTGGTGGCACATGCCTGCAGTCCCAGCTACTCGGGAGGCTAAAGCAGGAGAATCACTTCAGCCCAGGAGGCAGAGGTTGCAATGAGCCGAGATCACACCACTGCACTTCAGCCTGGGTGACAGAGCAAGACTCCGTCTCAAAAAAACAAAACAAAACAAAACAAAACAATGACTTGTAACTGTAACTGCTGAATCATATTATTCATTACAGGTATTAATATTATACTTTATTTATACTGTATCTGAAATCCAGATAAAATAGTTGATTTAGCACAGAATTTCATATAATAAAGATCTACCTAAAAATAAATTCAGGACAGTTTGAAGGATATTTCAACATTGTGGTACTATTGGACAGATCTTCCAAGTGGCAATATTATGTGTCACTACTATTCAATCTTGAAGTTTAAAAATCTTTAGGAAGAATTATAATGATACTTACAGGTACTATTTTTATTTCTGACAAATTCCTGCTACAGTTTCTTTCATTATCTACTGTAGCTAATTTATTTGCAGGCTCTTTCCCTTCTGTGGTAGTGGAAATCTACTGAAAACAATACCTTTATCATCTCTATTCCTAGAGGAGTTTTTACAAAACTCCTCAATTCCAACAAAAGTAAATAAACTAGTATGAACTCAAAGTCTCCCAAAACCTGTATTGTTTCCTAATATATTATTCTTATTACATTGTCTTACCCGTCAGTAATTTTTATCAGACTGAAGACACACCTTGCCTTTTCTACTCTTTACTAGTCCCTTAATTTTAAATAAAGTTCCTGTATTTTAAAAACAAATGCTATTCTTTACCATTTAGGTCAAGGTTACCCATTCATTAAACATATTAGGCCCTTACCATGTGCCAGGGAAAGTTCCAGATCCTGGAGGCACAATAATGGAAAACACATGGTGTTACCCTCAAAGCGTCCCAGGGTCCAGTGTGAAGCCTTTCCTAATTATCTCTGTTGAAAGTAGATTTCTTGTGGGCCGGGCTCGGTGGCTGACGCCTGTAATCCCAGCACTTTGGGAGGCTGAGGCAGATGGATCACCTGAGATCAGGGGTTCAAGACCAGCCTGATCAACATGGAGAAACCCTGTCTCTACTAAAAATACAAAAGAGCTGGGCGTGGTGGTGCATGCCTGTAATCCCAGCTACTCGGGAGGCTGAGACAGAATTGCTTGAACCCGGGAGGCGGAGACTGAGGTGAGCTGAGATGGCGCCATTGCACTCCAGCCTGGGCATACAGAGCAAGACTCCATCTCAAAAAAAAAAGTAGATTTCTTTTCTCAGTGTTTAAAACTCTAAGAGTTCTTACATTTATAAGACAATGTGTGTATATGTGTGTGTGAGTGTGTGTGTCATCTATTGCTAAAATTAGAACCTATATAATAGGTACCCCAAATTATTTCCTTGATTAGAATGTTGGAGAGAAAAATTAAGAGTGTATGTATTCTGTATCAAGATAAAATTATCCCTCAGAAAAAGTACTTACTACAGATTTCAAGATTAGAATGTGTCTGTTAGTCAGAAATAAGCTAGTAGAGTCATACAGAAGATTAGTGTTTGATAAAGAGAATGGAAAAGACTTATCAAGCAGCAAAGAGAAAGGGCTGAAGTAAAGAAGAGAAAATTTAAATTAAAAACATAAAGCTTGAACTTCCTTTCATCTCCAAAGGTGGGAAAAGGAAGTTACAGTTCTTATAGCTAAGTAGCTGAAATGCAGCATACTACTTAAAAACAATCTAAGAATACAGATGTTTCTAGGGACTCTGAATAAGCAAAGTCACTAACCTCATTAATTCTTCCACTTTATCATCTACATCTAGGTCCTCTTCTGAGGCTTCAAAACTGTATGACCTCTGACCCATGCTGTTTGCATGGTAGCGAGTTGGTGACATCTTTCCATTGGATGTAGATAATCGCTCATTATTCTCCCTCCCATTTTGATTGGTAGTGCAAGGCTGCGGGGAAGTATCATAACTGTTGCTAGGTGATGGGGACATTCCCGAATGCTGCGTCTGTGTGGAAGCTGTAGCTGTAGAGGAAGATGCTGGGACATTGTTGGTACTATTCCCATATGAACTTCCTCCATAGCTGGACCTTCTTCCAAACTTGTCACTATGCTCTTGATCAAGACGGTCCAAAGTTTCCAAGGCATGGAGAATTTCATGTTTAGTCATTCCAGTACGCCGAAGTCGCTGAAGCAGATCTATCTGCTCTATGGTAAATCTGGGTTCATCTGTATAATGAGACATGGTTTCCAGCAAACTAAAAAAAAAAAAAAAGATAAAAAGAAGTCTCTTTATTGACAGTATCTACCAAAGCACATATCATTAAAGAATGTTCAGAAGATGCAGTATTTATACACAAGCTTCTTTACTGAAAATGAAAGCATGTCCCATGCTAGAATGATTGTGCCATGGCAAATGGATTGGTACAGATACTAAATGTGTTAGTAGGTGAACATAGGTGTAACATAAAACCTAATTTCATATGGCATACAATTTACATTTTCCTCAATTTTGGAAAATATCAGAACCAAAATTTTAGTTATGTAAATAATACCAAAACAACAGATTCGGTACATGGAATGCATTAAACCCAGGCTATGTGATAACTCAGAAGTGTTTTGCCCATCTCAAGTGTATTACTCTACATTAGAGTATTAATGGAAAATTGCTGAAAAAATAGTTTGTATTATATTATTTACCAACTATTAGCTACACAGACCTAGGAATTCTCTACAACCTCATTTAGTGTAAACAAATGATTTGCTAAGCTAAGTCCAAGCAAATGCTAATAACCAGCAAAAATATTTAAGTGGAAAAGAGAGGTACATTAAAAAAAAAAAAAAAAAACATTTCATTCACTACTTAGCAATTTCCTAAGTTTTTCATCTCTGGTAATACATTCTCTCTTAATAGCTACCCTGAGAAAGATATTTCGTGGTTGTAGCCAGACAATGCTATTCATTTTTCTTAGGAAATTACTTTTACATGTTTCCTTTAACTAGCACAAGATACTGCAGCATATAAGAAAATGTTTTCTTAGGGTGAATAACAATATTAAGAGAGTAGTCAAATACTGTAAAAATTCTCACTGTTTGAATTCCTTTGTTGTTGTTGTTGTTGTTGTTGTTGTTGTTGTTGTTTTGGACACAGAGTTTCGCTCTTGTCACCCAGGCTGGAGTGCAGTGGCGCGGCCTTGGGTCACTGCGACCTGCACCTCCTGGGTTCAACCTGCCTCAACCTCCTGAGTAGCTGGGATTACAGGCACCTGCCACCAAGCCTGGCTACTTTTGTATTTTTAGTAGAGATGGGGTTTCAACATGTTGGTCAGGCTGGTCTCAAACTCCTGACCTCAGGTGATTCGCCCACCTCGGCCTCCCAAAGTGCTGGGATTACAGGTGTGAGCCACCATGCTCGGCCTTGAATTACTTTCTTATAAGACCTGACTTTTCCATTCAAGATTTTTTGAAGTGGTAATCTCTTTTATTTTGATATTTATTGTTCTAGTGCCAAATATAATGCATGGCATGCATAGGCTCTCAATAAGTGTTTGCAGATGGAAATAGATGTCAAGAAGTTTTTTCATCTTTCTCAAACAAACATCTGCTCTGGGCCAGTGCCCCACAGCTATTGAAAGTTTCACTGTTTCTTTGTCCTTCTACACGAAAACTTTATTGAACAGTCACTTCTAGGCAGGTATTGGGTAACAGTTTCACACATAACATAATCTCATCCAATTCTCACAGCAACTCTCGTGGTAGATGTTCTTTATTCATTTCATTTTATGTTGATGGATTGATTGTTGAGGAAACTAAGGCTCAGAGTAGTTTTATACCTTAAAAAAATCTGAGTAAACATTAGGAAAAAGATTTAAGCCTTGACTCCAAAAGCACACATCATTCTTCTTTACAATACCTTGCAGGACTTAACTGGAAACATATGATATGGGACACAGGCTATTCTACTCCTTTAAGTCTCATTTAAAGCCATTTAGATAAAACTACTCTAATTACTGATGAACCTAGGGGTCCTAGTAATAGTTTTCTACATTTAAAATCTTTGCTCCATCTAGAATTTTTATTGACTTAACAAGTATAAAAAATTGGGGTTTTATTTCATCCCAAATGGACAGCTAGATGTCATATGTTTTTATTGAATACCTGTCTTCTCCTCTGATGTGAAATGCTGCCTTTATCATACACACAATTTCCATATGAATCTGCATTACCTTTGGATAGTCTATTCCATTTTACTGATTGTTTTATCTTTCAAATTCTTTTTAAAATAAGTAGGCAGAAATCTAGAACTGTAGATGAAATCTCCCTAGTTTTAAAAACAAGCTCATTAAAATAAAACACAACCAAACACACATATTCTGTGGACCTAAACATGTTGCAGGCCATTTGTGCCCACGGGCCACAGTATCTGACCTACACCTACAAATGTTACGGTCTGATTTCTTCTGATACTCACTTGTAACAAGCTAGGCATCATTTTAAAAAGACCTATTTTCATGATTAGTATATTCTTTCTTGATGGCCTAAGTTCCCCCCACAATATTTTGTAATGAAAAATATTAAACATAAACATTATTATTTTCCCTTGAAAATGAAGTAGACCTGTTTGTTGCTATCTTCAGCCTTCATGTTATCAAAGTATTTCATAAAGTGATCTTACTTCAGATGACTTCAATAACTGTTTTATTATATGGACAAAAATTCCCAATCACAGTATTTTCCTACAGTATTCACATCAGAGCAGTTAGTTATCTGTATACAGTTCTTCAAACTATTCCTGGTATGGAGCAGCACTCTGTATTAGCATAAAACAAAAGTAAGTTATATGACTTTCACTTATTACTGAAAAGTATCCATCCTAACACTTGAATTAGAATTGTCAAAACTAAAGATTTCACAGCATATAAAACAATCTAATATTTTATGTCATTTCAGATTCATTGACTATTAGAACCACTTTTATTCCAAGTCATAAAAGGAGAAACAATAGGCCACCTATTACTTTGTCTGCCTAGAACACCTCATTGTTTTCAAGCACATGTTCTTGGGCTATCACTCATAATACCCCACCTTCTGGCCAGTGGGGTGGGCGCACAAGAAAGCCAAACCTTGCTCTCCCCACAATTTTCTAGTCAGACGAGGGGAAAGATGAACAGTCACCATAACTGTGCTCGGTTTCAGGAAGATATTAGTCTGGTAAATTCCTTATTATACGGAAGCAGCTAGTTCATGGGAAGATGAAGCAGACATACCAAGAAACTTAGAACAGACCGATGGCAAAAGCTGTGCAGTGCTCATATCCCTTGTTCCAATAATCCCTAAGCTCCTGATACATCCCTGCTCTTCTTGCTGTTTTGTTTCAACAGAGAATACATTTCCCTTTACGTATCACCTTGTTCAAATTAGATGTCTGTGCCCTGCACTGAGAGGTCCCTAATGCAAACATAACCTAAAGCAAAATGATCCACAATTGCTAGAATGATCATTCATATGATCACTACAAAGCAAAATGATTAAGAGCAAAACAAACAAGATCAAAGCATGCATGTGACACTGAAGATACGATATTTTACTGAGAAAACGCTGACACTAGAAGCTCTTCTGGATATTGAGAATAATGTTCCAATGTGTACTAATATAAACAAAGGTATATACACTGGCATTTCAAAATTTTATTTCTCATAATTTACCTAGTTTAAGCACATAATCACGAATTTATGGCAGTAAATGACCTACAAAGGTCATCTAAGTCCATGATACCAGCAATTCTTTTATAACAGAAAAAGATAACATGTAAGAATTGAATTAATTTTCTTTTGCACAAGGATTGTTCACAGGATAAGGAACATCTTTCACTTTAAATTACTAATCTGAATGCAGACTCAGGCCAACAATAATTGAAAATGATGTGAGAAGAATTTCAACACTGTAATAACAGAGAATGTTTAAGGCATAAAAGAACAATTAAATTCAGGAATTATGGCTCAGTTCATAAACTGATATTCTAAGAAAATATCATACCATAAGACCATAATAACTTTCCACAATACATTTTATCCTGACTTGAATATGTACCTAAACCCTTCTTGGATAAGGCATGAGGTCCAGAATATAATTTCATAAGCTAAATTCTACAAACATATAGAGCAGAGAAGATTAAAGCATTCACAAATAATTAACCTTGAAATAACATGGGTAGAAAGGACATTACTACCTTACTTGTAAAGCAAAAACAGTTAGTAAAATTTTATTGAATAACAGCTTTTTCTTTAGCGCAATTCTGCTCTTTATTTTTATTATCTAGAATGACTAGGCAAAATAGGTTAGTTCTGTTTTGCATACATGATATTTACTGCATGATAATTTAACACACTCTAGAGTCAATCACAATATTTCTATCAGAGAGTGAACTCTCCATCCTCTCAGGAATGTCACCTCATATCAAACTGTATATGTGAGTTACTGTCACAACTACTGGACTTCAAAATACATATACACTCAAGAGCTTAACAGACACTTTGGGAGCTTAGGCTGTGGCAGGGCTACTCTCTGTCAGCGACTTCTCCAAAACCGGAGAGCTCAGGCTGCAAAAGACCTCAAAGCTTTTACACTTTGCAGGCCAGCACTTTCTAGCAATGAGGGGCCTTACTTGTGGTCTTGGATCTCAGCTATGGTGGTCAAATCAGTTTCTCCCAAGAACTGCTCATATAAAGGTACACTTCCACTTTTAGCCTTCACTTGAACACAGAGGCCTCCTTTCAGCATAATTGAGCAAAGACACTTTAATAGCTTTGGAACACACTCACAATGTGGTTAATGTACCTCATCTATTGAGTGTATTCCCTGTGAAGTCTGTCTATGTTACTCTCCCCATCTTTAAGTATTGTTAAGAAAAAATTCTCTTTGTATGGCAATAAACACTCTGATTCATGAAATCATACATTGATCATATTATTTCTACCATATGTAACAAAAATCCAAGTACAAACATGCACATTTATAGAGGGAGATATAAATTAGGTGTGGAATGAGAAAACTGGAGACTATTTAGACAAAAACCATCCATTTAAGTAACATTTATTGAGTGCCTACTATGTAACAGATCCTATGCGAGGCACAGAGGACACAACAAGAACAAATCATGCAAAATTTCACAGCTTCATGATGCTTACATTCATTTCAGTAAGTATTAGACATCTTACTATTTTCAATAGCCATTAGACATCTTAACTATCTTGAATGCTTAGCCATCTATCTCAGAAACTTCTAGGCTTTGAGCAGTTAAAAATAATAAATAATTTTATATTCAATTTAAAATTAATGTCAAAATTCAAAGTTGAAAATAGAAATGATAAAAGAGAAGGCTGATAGACTGAAAACAGCTATTAGCAAATAAATTTTTTTAAAAAGTGGGGAGGGAAACTAAGGCCCAAAGAGGTGAAGTGCCTTCCCAAGGATATAGCTACTTAGCAGAAAGTCAGGCTACAGTTCACATCTTCTAGGTCTGTTCCAGAAACTTTTCATTGTGTCATAGAATCTATTGGGGTGGGGGGGAACTATAATGAAAAGCCTAAATAATAAGGAAAACCTCTCTTAATATCTACTTATTGTTTTATAGAACTGTCAACCAAAACGGAAGAAATTTAAGCAAAGTGGAGACTCCATCAAATTTTAGAAAATACTTATGCTAAAGGCACTCTGCATTAGACTCTAAAGATGCACTTAATGAGCTAATAGATACTCTGTCTTCTCTAATATCTGAAATTCCCGGAATACTTTTATTCAAAGGCCTATTTAATATGAACTAGTGGTTATAGTTCATATCCTAGCACAAAAACACTCTCAACACAATACCACTATCTCAATTTGTATTTTCTGCCTGACTCCAAAGAAAGGGTAGCACATTAGCTAATAGGCTTAACTACATTATCATGCCCCCAGCAGGTAAAGGAAAATGGTTAAGGTGCTAGGAGTTTTCACACAAAAGGCAACATGAAGGTGTATGCTTCCAGTAGTCTGCTTGTCACAAGGAATCCAATACTAGCTCTCTTGAACTGTTAGCCATCTATCTTAGATGCTTCTAAGCTTTAAGCAGTTAAAAATAATAAGTAATTTTATATTCAATTTAAAACTAATGTCAAAATTCAAAGCTGAAAACAGAAATGGTAAGAGAAGGCTGATAGATTTAAAGATTCATTTCTCACCACATGATCACGACACTTATTCACCTTAATGTCAAACAGGTATACCATTTGATTCATTTCCTAAAAAATCTTTTCAACTCTACGAACACCCATTGTCGAATCTGGATCATAATCATAATGACATCTTAACTTTATTAAAATGACTATGAAGATAAAAATCAAGAAGGACTTGATACTTACACCACTGGAAAGGAACTGAGCATACTTTACATGAGGTGGATCAATATCCTTTCCAGAGATGATCTGCGTTATCTACCATTCTGTAGAACAAAGATAGAAAATTGAGAAATATTTATGTTAATCAAGTGTTGAATAAAAATTTTAATTATATAACTTATGGATATCAAAAGTTAACACTAGCTAATCATGTTAAATACTATGTCTTCTGATTTGCATTCTACTGCTTTATTCACTATACAGTTTGATCCCTTTCAATTCAGACACAGATCTTCACAAAAAATGGTATTTACTATTCATTGTTTAGAAGCTAAAGATCATGAAGACAACTTATTAGCTGGTTAAAACCATAGCCATAGAGGCACCGATTTCCATTAACTCTAAGTTAAGATTATAAATTAGACAAAAGTTAAAAATGTTGATGTCAAAAACTCTCACATTAAAATACACATTCAGTACTGAATTACATTATGCATGGCTGAAGTGTCCCACAATGACTAATGATATATGCAAAATGTACAAGGTAAAGTTAGAAACCTTTCACATTTGTATGTTCTAAATTGTAGCATTAATGAAGATCCTGTTGTAGATAATTTTCTTGCTGACTTAAAAGACAGGCCCAGGCGCGGTGGCTCACACCTGTAATCCCAGCACTTTGGGAGGCCAAGGCGGGTGGATCATCTGAGGTCAGGAGTTCGAGATCAGCCTGACCAACATGGCGAAGCCCCAACTGTACTAAAAATACAAAAATTGCCAGGCGTGCTGGCACATGCCTGTAATCCCAGCTACTTGGGAAGCTGAGGCAGGAGAATCATTTGAACCTGGGAGGCGGAGGTTGCAGTGAACCGAAATCGCACCATTACACTCTAGCCTGGGCCACAGAGCGAAACTCCATCTTGGGCTAGGGGGGTGAACCTGTCCTAAAAAAGTAGATATAAAGTACAAAATGAAACTACTGAAATTGTTCCTCATTGTAGTTCCTAGGCAAAATAGTAAACCAAAGACACAAAAATGACTACTGGTCAAAACACATTTTTCACTATCTGCTCAAATTCAGTTAAAACATATGAAGCACCTGCTTGCCCTGGCATAGACACAAGAACGAAAATATGAGTAAGACATGGTCCCAACGGTAGAGGAGCTTAGGAGCTCATTAAATGGCAGAAGGTGGGGAGAATAGAGACTAGGGTCAAAAATTATAGACATGCCTCTCTCGAATAAAAAGTATAACATTAAAGAAAGACTAAAAATAAAACGTTTATATGAATAACAACCCAGAAACTAATTTAGGTTAGAGAGAACTAGGAAGATTTCTTAGAGTGAAATCTGGCTGTTATTTGAGGATTAGAACAAGACTTCCACAACATCAAGGCATAGAGGGAGGTGAGAATCATTGGAGGAAAGATTCCAGGAAGAGGGAACAGTGAAAAGAAATTATGAGATTTATTTAGGTAATCAGTAGGCTTGTGTTGCTGGCCTTTAACACAGTATGTGTGAGGAGTAGATGATCTAGAAGGGGATCCTGGCCTTTATTCTGTAATCATGAGAACCATGCAGCATGTTTACATGTAGCATGTTTAGCATGTAGCATGCACCATGAAAATAGAATAAAGGTCAGGATCCCCTTCCAGAGGGGATCCTTTGATAACTTCCATGCTAGGAAGTTATCATCAAAGACCCTGATTTAACAGACAAGAAAACAGATTAAGTCACTGATACAAATTTATGTAACCATAAGACACTGAATTTTGTCAGTTATATTTCAGACATAAATGGGCTTAAAATATTCTACAAAAACAAAATGTTCTAAAAACAGAGGACCAAGCAAACAAGATGTTATGAATTCTCTCAATTTCACAAAACTCTTCTGGCAGAGGAGACAGATTATTTTTTTTCTAATTGACAGATGTTTTGAAGTTATTTTAAAAATAGATTAAGAACTAAATCAAAATGGGTATTAAGATCACATCCACACTGAGTGCAATGGCTCACACCTGTAATCACAGCTACTTAGGAGGTTGAGGCAGGAGGATCGCTTGAGGCCAGGAGTTCAAGGCTAGTTTGGGCAACACAGTGAGTCCTCTGTCTCAAAAAAAACAAACAAACAAACAAACAAAAAAAAACAAAAAATACAATCACACCCATTTGAATGCCTATTATTTAAAAAATAAACATAAAACAACAAGTGTGGCAATGATGTGGAGAAAATGGAATCCTTGTATGTTACTGGCTGAAATGCAAAATGGTGAAGCCACTATGGAAAACAGTATGTCAGTTCCTCAAAAAACTAAATACAGAATTAATATATGATCCAGCGATTCCACTTTTGGATATCTATCCAAAAGAAGTAGAATCAGGCTGTGTTCACAGCAGCATTATTCACAAAAGCCAAAGGTGGGAAAAACCCAAATGTCCACTGGCAGATAAATGGATAAATGAAATGTGATATATATATAAACAACAGAATATTGTCTCAGCCTTTAAAAGGAAGGAAGTTCTGACACAAAAACATGAATGAACATTGAAGACATTATGCTAAGTGAAACAACCCAATCACAAAAGGTCAAATATTATATGATTCCATTTACATGAGGTACCTAGAGTAGTCAAATTCAGAGAGACAGAAAGTAGAATGGCCAGTAAAATGGGCAAGGAATAATGAGAAGTTATTACTTAAGGGTACAGAGTTTCAATCTGTGAGGATGAAAATGTTCTGGAAATGGATGGTGGTGACTGCTGTATACTGTATGTATTTAATGACACTGAACTATACAAGTTAAAATGGTAGATTTTATGTTATGCATATTTCAACACAATAAAAAAGCAGAACATTATAATAAAAACCTTATATTAAAAGGCATTAGGGATATAAATTTATGGATGCTGGATCACATTCAAGCACCTGGTCATAGAAAACAAGCAACCTATAAAAGAAAAAGAGAGGCCGGGCGTGGTGGCTCATGCCTGTAATCCTAGCACTTCGGGAGGCCAAGGTAGACAGATCATGAGGTCAAGAGATCAAGACCATCCTGGCTAACATGGTGAAACCCCATCTCTACTAAAAACACAAAAATTAGTTGGGCGTGGTGGCATGCACCTGTAGTCCCAGCTACTCAGGAGGCTGAAGCAGGAGAATCGCTTGAACCTGGGAGGTAGAGGTTGCAGTGAGCCAAGATCATGCCACTGCACTCCAGCCTGGCGACAGAGCAAGACTTGGTCTCCAAAAAAAAAAAAAAAGAAAAGAAAAGAAAAAGAGATTATACAATTATAAAATATACAGTTTATGACCAAGATATGAGTTACAAACACAAAGACCAAATAACATGAGAGGTAATAAAGCAAAAATCGTAACAACTTTAATAATTAAATATAAATGAGTTATTTCAGTATACCTTTTAGAATGAACAAATATAGTTGGAGAAAATTTTAAAAAGAGAAATTTGCTGTATTATCAATAAACATAATTTTAAAGATAAAAAGATACTTTGTAAACCTTTTAACAAAGAAGTTTTTTTTTTCTTTGTCCACTACCATAATTGATCACAAACATGGTAAAACAAAAGGTTTAATTTCATATATATAATCCAAACAATCTAGGGAAAAATGTACAAAAATAACTACTTATAAACTACAAGATAGTCATAAACAACCCTTGGATCAAAGAAGAAATCACAAAGGAAATTATGATCCACATAGCTATACACTGTGACAAAAAAAGAGGATTATTATTCATAACGAAAATCCAGGCCAGGAATGGTGGCTCATGCCTGTAATCCCAGCACTTTGGGAGGCCGAGGCGGGCAGATCATGAGGTCAGAAGTTCGAGACCAGCCTGGCCAACACAGTGAAACTCTGCCGCTACTAAAAATACAAAAATTAGCTGGGCGTGGTGGCACGCACCTGTAATCCCAGCTACTCAGGAGGCTGAGGCAGAACTGCTTGAACCTGGGTGGCAGAGGCTGCAGTGAGCAACACTGCATTCCAGCCTGGGTGACAGAGCAAGACTCCGCCTTGAGTGGGGAAAAAACCCCAGAAAACCCAAATGACCCAACAAAAGTTGTATTTAGAAGTAAATGTATGGCCTTAAAGACTTTAATATTTTAAAATTCATATTCTTACTGTTTTAAAATTTACAGCCTAAATATTTTTAAAAGTCAAAAGAAAAAACAGTATTTAAAAAACTAGAAAAATAAAATACTATACATCAAAATAAGCTAGAAAAATGAAACTAAGAAATACTAGTTGAAATTAATATAAAATGAAGCTACGGAAGGCATAAGTCCAAATGTTGGCTCTTTGAAAGACTATTAAATAATTACACAGAAAGTCTAATAAAGAAAAGAGAGAGAAAAAAACTGCTAAGATTCAGAATGAAAAGAAAAATACAGCCATGGTATTGGGGGAAAAAAAACCCTAAGAAATTATAAATGCAACCGCATGACAATTCATTTAAAAACCTAAAAGAGAAAAACGATTTCCCAGTAAAATAGAATATATCAAAGTTGACCAAAAAATAAATTCTTTAGTTGAACCAAATAGCGTAAAATAAAGGTAATTAAGAATCTACACAAAGAGGCATCAAAATCAGCTGAGTTCTCAGCAGATTCAATCTATTTTAAAAACAGAATTCTAATAATACTAAACTATAGAAAAATACAGGAAATGTTCCAATCCATTTTATGAAGCCAGAATTATTCAATAGCATACCTAATAAAGGTAGTACACAGAACATACCATTTCACTTAAAAATTAAATGTAAAAGTTCTAAGAAAAAACTCACATTAGACTATAGAGTGCAGGACATATGAGAAATAATACAGTAGTCCCCCACTTTATCTGCTGTTTTACTTTGGCTTTCTGTGGTTTCAGTAACCTGCAGTAACCATGGTCCGAAAATATTAGGTGGAAAATTCCAGAAATAAACAATTCGTGAGTTTTAAAATTTGAGCCACTCTTAGTAACTTAGAAACCTCATGCCCCTCCTTCAGGGCATCCACACTGTAGACCCTACCTGCCCCTTAGTCACTTACTAGCTCTCTAGATTATCACACTGACTGTCCTGGTATCTAACAGTGCCCCTGTT